CGATCAGAAACACGACGACCGGAAAGCGAAACAACAGCCAACTGTCGGTAGTAGCCTACGTTCCGTGGTGTCTTCTAGAGCAACGGGCTAAAGTACCGGTTCACACCGGTAAGATGGTAAGCTAAAGAGTTTCAGTGACTGCGACTGACCGTGAGCTACTCATTATACCCATTAGAGTAGTTTGGCAGAAGAGTACCCTGATTACAAGATCTGGCGGAAAGATTGAGTACCGTCATCCGTATCAAACGCTGATGAATGCGTGATGAAACGTTTTTATCATGCCGTCTGTTCTCAATAATATTCCAATCGAAAGAGATTTTCGTAATATTACGTCAAACTCACTTATTAGACTCGTAGTCGAGCCAAATGTAATGATGAACAGAACGCTAATCGGTCGTGACAAGAGAATTTGAATTTGATTTTCAGGCTACCCAGCATTTGGTGTTGTACATTATAATGCATTATAAGAGTATCGATCACTGATAAAGTTAAGGTGCATCATTCAATGCTAATAAGTATCGTTGGATAGACCTTAGTAAAAAACAGTGAGACAGGTTAGTACGCTTTCTTTATTTGTTTCATCACTGTTACAACGGTTTTCTGTCCAAAACTGAATTTGAACGCGTATTATTGCCTAAATCTACGAAACAGTGCTGTGATATTTAGCATAAGGCCTGACCTGCAATTTATCAGTCTCTTTGGTGGGCTGTGGACCTCTCATTTGCGATTCCGCGGCCATTCCATTAGCTAGAATAAACGCTATTCGCTAGTGACCAATGGACCTAGCAACATAACCAATGCATTGTATGCTGTTCTATCTGCATTTCATGGTGACACTTTGAATCTGGCGTGCCATCCAATTTCTGTATTTCAGTGGCTCTCTCAGAAGTATACAGGTGAACCTCCTCCTTGTGTACTTAAGTTAGGTCATTGGTCACTTTTGGTAAGATATTCTTCAAGGTTCAACAGCGCCGCTAATGAAGCTTGAAGAATAAATTTTTACACAGTTTCGTCAGTTTCAACTTCGTTATACGATATCTAATCAGTTTCAAACCAAGAATGCCAATCTTTTGTCCAAATTTACAGTGACCCCTTTTTATTCATTCCTATGGAAAGGAGAACCTATTATTCTTGGTCAAAATATACGCCAATAACTCATAAGACATTTTTCCGTTTATTGCTTCGGCAGGGGTGTGGGAAAATCTCCAAAGACATCTGAATGAATACGTTCAAAATGAATCAGCCACATAATGCTCACGATGTCAAAAGCAAGACCTCACATATCATTCATAAGGAAGGATCCTCCTCATTTTACAGTACTCATTCGACGACTGCAAGCAAGTATGTGAGCAAACCATTTGTCAAACTACATAAATTCTCATCCGCTGTCGTTCATATTTACCAAGCGACGACCACCACCCTCTAAGACTTAAAACATGGAATTTTTTCCCCATATTTGTTTCTCTTCAACGATCGCAAAATCATTGCTATGTGATAAAAAATGCTGTTACAGGATCCTGATAAAACGGCGTCTAATTTTTCTGCAGAAGTTACATATGCGACTAACATATGAAATCAATGACTGAATGATTTACTTCAGTGCTGAGGGAGATCTTGACATCAATGGCTCAAGATAACCGCAAATCCTTTCGGGTCGCGAAGGAAGACGCTTCAGGTACCGTCTCCAGCGTTCCCAACTCTGTACTTGCGTTTCAGCATCGGTAGAAGATATCCGAATCTTTAGGAGAGTCTAGCAAGACACTTGCCTCAGGGATCTTCAGCCACTTAGTTTGACAAGCAACTGTTTCACCTGCATTTCCGACAGCTGTCGTACTACGTGACCAAACTATCACAGCTGTGACCTCAATCTGAAGAGGCACCGGCTGTACGTACACCAAGGCTCTTGCAGATATCTGTTCTGTGCACCGAGTCGACACGCATCGTCTCTGAGGTCCATTTCAGTCGTTTGAATTTAGGATTAAGGTTTTCAGCCATGACCCAGGATTCATGGCCATAGGTGAATATGGAGGTGAATATGGACTTGAACAAATCGCAGCATGATTATCAAACTCAGCACTGTTTTAGCCACAACGGTTCAAGTTAATTTATGCAGAATTCTGGCCATTGCAATTCTCTTGTTCACCCCGCTTCCCATTTTAATCACCGGTGAACAAAACACTAAGGTAGGTGAGTTTCGTCACCAGCCTCCCACTGTTTCTCTGCTGTTTCTCTGAAGATGCTAATATTCGACTGGATGGCTAGTAGCAACTAAACGATCGGATATGTTTGCGGGCTCGTCTACAACTTCTTGTG